CCCACCCCCTTCAGGAATTTCACAGAGACTTTTGAACACACAAGTGAATGGTTCCTTTTGTGCACTTTGTCCTAAGATCTTTTCCAGAAATTGTCATTAATCTGAGAGTTTGCCACAAAAAGTCTATGGCATGGGTTCGAGACCAGAAATCCAAAGAAAACACTCGAAGCCTAGAGCTGTCAAAGCCGGTCTTTCCTCATCAGTTTCTCTCGGTGAGTACGCCGTCCCTAAGGACACCGCTGACCGTGCAGGTGTATGTAGTTCGCCTTAGCGCAGAATGAGCGCCACCAGAAGGTTGCCTGCAGCTAGAGCAACTCCAACTTCACTCGCCCCAGGCCAAGCTGGGGAGAGAGGCAGGCACTTAACTTACCACGCAAGTACAGATAGACCTGCCTCGAAGCCCTAAAACAAGCTGGCTGCACCTGCCCGTCCCCGGTCCTCCAGTCCTCAAGCACTGAGCATGCCTAAAAATTAGGGGGATGGTCTGCGGAGTATTTAAAATTCATTTTCACCAAAAATTACATAGTGAGTTCCAGGCCAGCTGGGGCTAAAAAAAAAGATGCCCAAGTTCAACTTCTGTTGTCCTCAGTACAAATTTACAAACACGTGCTCACATACACACACCCATTCACACACAAATAAGTGAATAAAATACAAAATATAAAATTAAAATAAAAAATACAAGCATACAAAAAGCTCTACAAATTGATGGGGCAAATAACTCAATAAAATATAGACTAAGTATATGAATGGGCCATTCACAAAATATTAAATGCCAATGGTAAGAATATAGCTATACCATTCATAGTGACACATGCCTTTAATCCCAGCACTCTGGAGGCAGAGGTGATGGAACTCTGTATGTTCAAGACCAGTCTGATCTACATATTGACACTCTGTGTCAAAAAAAAAAAAAAAAGAGTATCTATATTATATGAAATAAAGATATAATAAAGATTATCTAAATCTATATGAAGATATTCAGCTCCAGTAGCAGTGTAGACAAATACAAATTAAAACAAGGAGACACCATTTTTCATCTCCTATATTAGCAAAAATAATAAAATTAATAACATATCAGTGCAGGATAAGATGGAATGAGTGGGGAGAGCAAGAGGCTGACTTTCAAACACTGTTGGGGGAATGTGAACCGCTAGTTTGTGGGAGGTTTTGTTGTTCCTGCTGTTTGTTTTTTGAGACAAGTTCTCATACTGTAGCCAGCGCTGGCCTTGAACTCAAACCAATCCTCCAGCCTCAGCCTCTACAGTGCTGGAATTACAGATATGAGCCCCACACTGGACCAAAACCTTTGTCTACTACAATTTTACTTTTTTTTTTTTTTTCTTTTTGAGGCAGGGTCTCCCTGTAGCCACAGCTGGCCTGGATTCAATATGGAGACCAGGCTGGCCTCAAACTCACACAGATCCGCCTGCCTCTGCCTTCCAAATAACGGGATTAAAGGTATGTGCCACCAGCCCTGGCTAGTCTACTACAATTTTATACATACATGTATTGGTATATTTGATTCAGTATTCCCATGCTTGGGAATCCATCCTACAGAAATAAAATGAACAATTGAAAAAAGAGAAAAGAAAAAAAACTAGCTTTGACCAGGTGTGATGGCTCACACCTGTAATACCAGAATTTGGAAGGCTAAAGCAGGAAGATTGTTTTCAGGTCAGCCTAGTCTACATAGCAAGGAACTGTCTCAAAAAAGAAATCAATTTATAAGAATACATGTGCTAAGATTGCAATATTATTTGTAGTAGAAAAAAAAAGTAGGGGACTGAAGATAAAGCCCAATGGTAGAGTACTTGCCTAGCACATACAAGGACTTTAGTTGGGTTCTCCGGCACTTAAAAAAAAAATAATTTAGCTGGGCGTGGTGGTACACACCTTTAATCCCAGCACTTGGGAGGCAGAAGCAGGCAGATCTTTGTGAGTTCGAGGCCAGCCTGGTCTACATAGTGAGTTCCAGGACAGCTAGAGCTACAAGGAGACCCTGTCTCAAAAAAACAAAAATTAAATGGTTGTCAGTAAGAATTATTAATTGACATATTCATTTTTTTATTTTTTGGTCTTTTTGAGACAGGATCTCCTGTAGCCCTAGCTGGCCTGGAACTTGCTATGTAGACCAGGTTGGCCTCGAACTCACAAAGATCCTTCTGCCTCTGTCTCCCAAGTACTGGGATTAAAGGCATGCACCACCACACTTGGCATATTAGTTCACATATTCATTCTATGGACTATTTTGTAAGCATTAAAACAGGAGCTGGGAGTGTAGCTCAGTGTCAGAATTTAGTATACTTCAAGTCCTGGGTTCAATCCCCAATACACACAGACACTCACACACACATAAACACACACAGATCTGTGTTCATTAAACTGGAAAATATTCATGTTATACTTAAGAAAAATAAGTTGGACTGCGCGTGGTGGCACATATTATGTGAATGAGTGTATTGCCTGCATGTGTGTAAATGCACCCATGTCATGCAATGCCCACAGAGGTCAGAAGAGAGCATCTGATCCCCTGGAACTAGAGTTATAGATGGTCGTTAGCTGCCATGTGGGTGCTAGGAATTAAATGCTGGTCTTCTGCAAGAGGAACCAGTGCCAGCTAAGCCATCTCTCTAGCCTATATCATGTCTTTTGAAATACTACAAATCCCACATACTTATGTATATGTGTATCTGTGGCTATATAATGTTAGATGTGAAGCTAACAGACTGACCTAAAATACCAGTTACCTCAGTTACCTCAAAACTAGGAAAATAAGAGTTTTTCTTTAAAAAAAAATTTTTTTTTTGGTCTTTTTGAGACAGGGTCTCCCTGTAGTCCCAGCTGTCCTGGAACTCACTATGTAGACCAAGCTGGCCTTGAATTTACAGAGATTTGCCTGCCTCTGCTTCCCTAGTGCTGGGAGTAAAGGCAAGTGCCACCACACCCAGCCCTTCCTTTAAAATTTTTATTTAGTTATTTTATGTGCGTGAGTGTTTTGCCTGCATGTATGTAAGTACACCACATGTAAATGACCACAGAGGCCAGAAGAAGATGTTGGATCCCCTAGAACTGGAGTTAAGAACTGTTGTTAGTCATCATGTGGGTGGGTGCTGGCAAGAACCTGAGTTCTCTGCAAGAGCAGCCAATACTTTTAACCTCTTGAGCCATCTCACCAGTCCCAAGAAGTTTTTATCTATTTGGTTTTGGATTTTTGTTTTGTTTTTGAGACAGGGTCTCCTGAAGCCCAGGCTGACCTCAAACTCTCCTTATACAACCAAGGATGACCTTGAACTCATCTTCCTGCCTTCACCTCTCAAGTGTTGGCCTTCTCCATTACACCCAGATGTTAAGGAGAGTTTAGTCTTTCCTTATATACTTTTATTGTTTTGCTCATAACAATGAACATGCATAAGCTTCATAATTTAAATTGCTGTACTAAAATATCTGAGCGGCATCTGTACAATGGAATTTTATTTGACACTGAAAAAGAATAAGGTAATGTTGTTACCACAGTGGTGAGCCTTGGTTGCACAGTACTAAATACACTGGAGTCAGTTTCCAGGAAACATGTTGTATGATTCCATTTCCATGAAATATCCAGAAGGAAAACCCACAGAATCAGAAAGATCACTGGACTGGGGAATGGGTTTGGGGACAATGGAGCTTATTGTGATTGAATACCCCTGTTGATAAACTGAAAGCAATTTGGATGCCCAAAAAAGGTGTTATAAATACTATACATTTTAAATATTTGTTTAAAAGACAAATATTTGATTATTTTTATTTACTATTAATTATCAATATATTAATTAATATCTCAATAAATAATAATAATTATTATTTATTATTTTGCGACAGGATGTCACTATATAAGCCTGACTGGCCTCGAACTCATCATCCTCCTGTCAGCCCCGGAGAACTGGGAATGTGGGTATATGCTGCAATATTTGTTTCCTCTCAACGTAATTTGAAAAAAATGTGTGATGGCCTCTACAGACAATTCTAGAAACGAAAATCTAAAATGTATCGCATTTTAAAGAAACGACATTGGAGAGGACATCGAGGGTTTGGAGATGTAAGATTTGATATCTTTAAGAAATAATATTTCCCATAATGCATAAAATGTAGTACGGAAGGACCATGTACAGGAACCACATTTCGAAGTCCTAACTCTGGCTCCTAGGAGAGAACCTGACTGACTTTTGAGATTCTTTTGACCAATTTGTAATAGTAATTATTTCTAGTCTCATTTCAGTTACGTTGAGTATGCAAAAGAAATCCAAACATAAAGAAAATTGGCATGTGGAAATACGGTTCAATCGCTCAAAAATTTGGTTAGATAACCAGATATTTTCTTACGCCAACTCTTTTTTTATAATAATAAAAATGAAAATCGAAATTTTTGAAAAGTACAGAAAATAATCCATACAATCGCATTGGGATGAGAAAAGAGAAATTGTTTTTCAGAAAAACGAAAAAAATACAAGTATCAATAAATTTTTATATTTAAGTGACTAAAAGACTCGGACCGATCAAGGAACAAATCTGTGCTTGCGTGTTCTTCCATAAGACTCTGGAGAACGACCGTAATGCCAACAGCGCCGCTGGTGTAGTGGTATCATGCAAGATTCCCATTCTTGCGACCCGGGTTCGATTCCCGGGCGGCGCAGAGGTTTTTTTCTTTTTTTAACGACGTTCTTTAATGACACAGCATGGAAAACAAATGTATCCTTTTATGAAAATACTTATAATTTTTTGTCTCCACGAAGATTTCTATTTCACTATAATCCACTATTGAAACAATCCGACCTGGAAATAGCACAAAATTAATTCACCGAAATCCTGAACTAGCCGACCTTGCGCCTGCGCTGTCTGAGCCATGCCTAGCGCCGGGTTTGGAAGCGCGGCTGCGCAACAAGTGAACCTACGCCTCAAGGTGCTGCCAGGCAGCCGGGAGCGTGCTTGCGAGGCGGCTCTGCGCATGCGCGGCTCGATTCACTCGGCTGGCGGCTCCAGGCGCCCCGGCTTGCCGCCATCTTGGATCGGGGCTTCATTGTTTGCTGTGGGCCGGCTGTTTGGGTTGACTTGCCGCCTAAGAAGAAGGCGAAGTAGCCTCCAGTCTAGCGAGGAAGCCCGCTCTTCCGTAGCCATAGCCGCTCAAACGATTTGGGAGGTAGTGAAGGGCAGGGAGCTGGACCCAGAGGCACCGCCGCGACCGCAGCAGCCATGGAGGACGAGATGCCCAAGACTCTGTGAGTCTGGAGCAGCGATGAGGGAGGCGGGATGGTGGTCGTCCCCGAGGGAGGCCGCGGCCCTGCGCCTCTCCCCAGCCATTGTTCTTCGTGGACGCCGCGATGTGGTGGTTCTCCCTCTAGCGCACGCCTGGATACTTAGAGCCGAGACGGGCTGAGGAGGATGGAGGGAGAGGGGCTCGGTCGGCGCCCCGGGCCGCCGCGGTCCCCCAGCCCGGAGGCAGGACTGACTCCCGACTCTCCTCAGGACTCGGCACACCCTCCTGTAGCCCGGGCCCCAGCCCCTTCTTTTTTCGAATCTCTTAATTTGGCTTTGATTTCCTTCTGGAACTTCTTTGATCTGCTATTGGTAGGGTTTTGGTTTTTTTTTCCCCCCCCTTCCTTCTTGAGGTTGAGGTAAAACTTTATTCTTGGAGTTGCCAACTGGAAAAAGGCCAGCAGTCTTTCTTTAACGTCTGGCTGTCCCTCTGTAGTCACTCCCCTGACTCTACCAAAGAGCCTAACCGGACACCTAAGGATATTGAAACCGCTTTTAAAAAATGGAAATCTCACCTGGAGGAATATAACTACTGAGCGAAAGTGGATTTAAAACATTTATACTCACTTGCTCATAGTCATCCACATTGTTACCAATGAAACAAATTACTATCTTACAGTATTGTCAAGTCTAAGAATTTTTAGTGTTAAAAGAACCCGAGCTTAGGATATTTTCTTTGTCGTGTAACTTCCCCTCTGCATTCTTTGTTTTCCAGAGTATTGGATGAGATGATCCTGACTTTGTCGGATTTCTCGGGGAAAAAAGGAAAAGCTCAATGAGTTGTGGGGTGTTTTTGTTTGTTGGGGTTTTTCTTTCTTTTGGGGTGGTATATTTGAAGATTGCAACATGTTGCTTGTTATACAATATATGTAGGTGGTCGGTTAACTGTATGTGAAGCAGGTTTTACATGTCTGTCATCCCAGAGTTTAACTTTCAATGAATTACTGACATAACTTTTAGTTTTTATTTTTGGAGTGTTGGCACTTTCAGAGCCCTATGCATTTTAGGGTTCTTTTTGCATTTTCCTAGGTATTAAAGTTATGAAGTACAGTGTAATTAAATTATCTCCCTTTCAGTTTTAAGGCCCCCCCCCTTTGAGACACAGTTTACCTGTAGCCCCAGCTGGCCTGGAACTCCCTATGTAGACCAGGCTAGCCTTGATCCACCTGCCTCTGCTGGGATTAAAGGTGTGCCCCACCATACCGTGGCCTAAATTGATATTTTTTAATGTGTATGAGTGTATTGCCTGCATGTATGTAAGTGCACCCATGTGGTGGTGCAGTGCCTGTCTAGGTCAGAAGAAGGCATCAGATCCCTTGGAACTGGAGTTATGGATGGTTGTTAGCTATCATGTGGGTGCTGGGAATCGAACTCAGGTCCTCTGCAAGAGCAGTCAGTGCTCTTAACAGCTGAGCCATCTCTCCAGCCTCCCTGATAATGATATTCTTAATGTATGTGGGAAATGTAGTTACTTTTGAGACAGGGTCTCCGGGTAGCCTCAGCTGGCATGGAGCTCACTATGTAGACCAGGGTGGCCTTTAACTAAGAGATCTACCTGCTTCTGCCTCCGGAGTGCTGGGATTAAAGGCGTGTGCTGTCAGGCCTGGCTCTTTTTTTTTTTTTTTTTTTTTTTTGAGATGTGTATAGCCCAGGTTGGCCTTGAACTTGAACTTGTTATATGTAGCCTACAATATAGAACTGTCAGTTTTCCTGGCTCAGTCCAAAGCACTAGGATTAAAGGCTACTATATCCAGTTGACATTTTATTGTCTTTCTTCAGCCCTTTATGTAGCCTTGGCTGGCCTGAAAACTCTTCATGTAGATGAGGCTTCTAACTTGTGGTAGTCCTCCTGCTTCTCTCTGCTTTCCAAGTGTTGGCATTACAGACATGTTACTATCATGCCTGGTTTACACTTGTTTTCTGAATATATTAAATATTTTGCTGGTTTATTGTGGACAGTTACTTTGAAGTAGCTTTTTTTTTTTTTTTTTTTTTTTGGAAACAGGATCACCTTGTAGCCCCAGTGGGCCTGGAAACTATGTAGACCAGACTGGCCTTGATCTCACTGAGATCCACCTGCCTTTGCCTCCTGGATGCTTGGATTAAAGACCTGAGCCAGCACACTGGCCTGAAGTAGCTTTTTAATGAAGATACTGTAATTTGGCCATGACCCTTTGTTTTTGGAAAGATTGTATCAGTAGGTGGATATTCCCTAAATCTATCAGACACGTGTTTGTGGAAACATTTTCCTCTTGCATTTTAATTAAAAGTATGGTAGCATTTTAGAATTAGTACTGCTATCTTTTAGTGTCTTTAGAAAATTCTTATTTGGACTTTTAAAAATCTTAATAATTGCCAGAAATATCTGATAACCTTTTTAGTGCTTTGATTTGGGAATATCAAATAATGAAGATGTCACCATCATTCTCAAGGCAGTCTGCAAAAGCAAGTAGTTACATAGTACCAGATTGGACCAGGAGAGTGATGGAGTTTATTCATTTACCAAGAGTTCATTGGACCCTTTGAATATGTCAGACTCTGTGTGCTCTTTTAAACCTTACTGGGACGCTGGATAAACTGTATTTTTTAACCAAAGAAGAGCTAACCTTAGAGTTTCAGTAGCTCAAAATCATACACTTTTTTTCATCCTACAGTTTTACTGTCCTCAGTTCTTATCTGTTATAATAATGGCTAATTTTGCCTTGTGTCCCTCAATAGAACATCCCATTCAGGAATTTTCTCCCTAAAGTAACCATGATTTAGAATTGCTTGTTATCTCGTCCCTTGCTACTACCTCTTTCAGCCAAAACTTCCATTCTTCCAGTCAGCCAATCTTGATTAAATATTAGTAGGTACTAATCCCTTAGTTTATCCAATAGTATTTTAATTTTTATTTTTATTTCGAGACAGGGTTTCCTTGTAGCCCCAGCTGGCCTGGAACTTGCTATGTAGACCATGCTGACCTCCATATCACAATGATCCACCTGCCTTGGATTAAAAACATGCATCACCATGCCCAGCCCAGTATTTTAAATTTTAAATGCTCACCTTAGTGACTCTGGAAGACAGGGTGATCTTTATTTGGTCTCTGTGTTAAGTAATCAGATTTATTTAAAAATCTGGTACAGGGCTGGACATAGTGGTGCATGCCTTTAATCCTAGCACTAAGGAGGCAGAGGTAGGCAGATCTCTGTGAGATTGAGGCCAGCCTGGTCTACATGGTGTTCCAGGTCAGCTGGGGCTACAGGGAGACCTGTCTCAAAAAAAAAAATCCAATACAGTTCAAGAAGTATATCAAGGTTTTATTCATTGAGAATAAAATTGCCTGTTTTACTTACTATCACCTATGTTCTTAAATAGCTTAGAGGAAACATCTTATTTGCCATATCTCAATTTTTAGTATCACCTTGTTAAAGGTTGTCAATATTGATTTGTCAGCAAATACTTTGGAAATATATTGTAAGAAAACGTTCTTAAAGTTTATTTTATACTGCAAGATTATTCCGAGGAATGTTCAAGGTACACTTCAGACATTTGTAGTGAGTGTTTGGGTGATGTATGCATATTATTCTCATGTATAAATTTGAATTTGTCTATAATGAAAAAATAAAAAAATATGTATAGTGAATCTGAATTGGCTTTGGTCACTTTAAAAACTCTGGATTTGTGAATTAAAAATTGCATACTAAACTGGAAAAGCATTGCTAGTTTGAGTTGATGGAAATTATTCCCTCGGATCCACCCTAATATCTTTTGTATGATTTGCTGTCAAATGCAGCTTTCTCTTTTGAGATAGCTATGTGGTTATTGTGTGGCCTTCACATTTACTAAGAGTGTAGGTCTATAAGTTGTACAGCATTGCTAACAGCCTAAGTGATTGCTGCATGCTAATGTGGGCTTTCTCTTTCCGTCACCCCATGCATATCTTTAATTCTTCTCCATCCCACTTCTCTCCAGATGCTTTTGACTTTGTAATTTGTATGAATAGCATCTCTTGGGCTGAGTTGAATTTGCATGTTTTCTTTCTTTCTTTCTTTCTTTCTTTCTTTCTTTCTTTCTTTCTTTCTTTCTTTCTTTCTTTCTTTCTTTTGAGACTATGGCTCATTATGTAGCCTACACTGGTCTTGTGCCAGTTTTAACTAAAGATTAAATCGAGGGCAACATTGACTCAAATTAGATATTTAATTTTTAGATTCTACTGATAATGTTTCCAAACAACTATTAGCAATATAAATATGCTAGAGTCATTTGTTCACTTATGCTTGAGAGCATATCCCATGGCTATTACTGTTCTAGGAACAGGGGGTAGAAGTAAATGTAGCATGTCTTAAGACTGAACAGAGGAATAGTAGGTGTGGTTAGAGTGATGGGGGAGATGGCATAGGGGAGGTAGACCATAGCAGATCATATAGGGCCTTGTGAGCCTGTGGGTTTTTTGTTTTTTGTTTTTTTTTTTTCGGTCTTTTTGAGACAGGGTCTCCCTGTAGCCTCAGCTGTCCTGGAACTCACTATGTAGATCAGGCTGGTCTTGAACTCACAGAGATCTGCCTGCCTCTGCCTCCCGAGTGCTGGGATTAAAGGCGTGCACCACCACTCCCGGCCTGAGTCTGTGTCTTTTTATCTGAGTTGTAATGGAAGCCATAGAGGGTTTTAAGCACAGGAGTGATAATAGTTTGTCTTGTGAGTACTTAAGATAGAATCTTGTGGGTGACCTGGTATTAACTATGTAGCCCATGCTGGCCTCAAACTCAAGGCCATCGTAGGGCCTCAGTCTACTGAGTGCTGGGATGATCTGTCTTAAGTATGAACAGGGCAGAATCAAGTAGAGTAGTCAGGAAGCCAGTTCAGGTGAAAGACAAATAGTGACTTACGACAAAGAAGTACTGGAAGAAGTGATGAGAAGTGACTAGATTCTGGATAGGCTTTTAAAATATAGCAGATGGAAGGGTAGAGTGGGCAAGGA